AATTTGGCTTTTGTTGAATTTTCAGGTCCCACTAGGGATGCCAATAGGTAGGCATGGCCACGGTTCTAGAACCAACGGTTCTGGTTCTTCAAAGAGGTAGAACCAGAACCGCACCATATAAGATGGTTCTGGTTCCAGAACCGCATAGTTCTAATTTTGGTTCCTTATGGTTCTAGTTCTGGTTTTACGGTTTCGTATGGTTGTATACAATTTTATTTAATTCCTTATCCTTACCAATTTTAATACGAATATAACAATATATTTAAAATTTCAAATAAAATGTAAAAAAATAAATACAAAATAAAGATCATATTTTAATTTTATTATATTCTACAAAGTAAGAAGTAATAAATAGATAATATAAATTTTATGAAAAGTACATTACATTGTCAAATTAAAAATACATTACACTATCAAATGGTTAACGTGTGTTGACTTTCTTGAGTTGGACAATCATCAATGTTGCAGATTCCATTTGAAAAAATATTGCAAAAAATATTTTTTTGCTTGCTTGATTTTGAAGATGAGCTACTACCATCAAAACTTGTCATTTGATAGCAAATAAGAAAAAAAAAATTGTAAGTAATAATTTAATACTTACGAATTATAATGATAGATAATAGATGAATAAAAAGAATTAAATAATTAATAAAATATATAGAAAGTCCATAAAATTTAAACTTTCTTAAAACCTATTAAACACAACTAAATTTTTTTGAATTATCTCACTATTTATATTAATTATTTTTAACGGTTCTGGTTCTGCACTTGGGATCCTCGGTTACAAGTTTTCTGTGCCAATTCAATGCCACCTATAGTATTGCGCCAAGTGTCATGTTATTATTTGTACTTTATTTTTTAATAATTCAAATTGATTTGGTTTAACAAAATTTTTCTCTACCTCTACAACTTTGAACCAAAATTAACCAACCGGTCTAATTTCACTTGGGTTCCTTTTGTACGGCAACCACTGGGGAAAAAGAAAAAGATAACCCTGCTACACCGTTCTTGGGCATCCGGCGGTTTTTCGTTTCACATTTTTTTGTTTTTGGAGCAAAAGGTTGGGGGCAGATTTTGAATACCAATAATGTCATCTTGGTCTCTGCAACTATACTTGCAGAAAGTTTGGTCTGAATTGTGGCAGCGTTCCTTTTCCCTACGTCCCCGAGTTAAACTGCATCCCGATCTTCAGATCCTCTGCACTTGCCAGCATTCAGATATCCGTGGAGGCCGAACAGATGAGGACCAAGAATCTGAGCCTCCCAAGAATCTGAGCACTTCCAGGCAATTTTTCTCTTTTTGATTTTGTTCAAAGCAATCAACGATGAAAAGGTTGGACTTTGGAGGCAACGGTGCGGTAGGGTTATCTTTTTCTTTTTTCCCGGTGGTTGCCGTACAAAAGGAACCCAAGTGAAATTAGACCGGTTGGTTAATTTTGGTTCAAAGTTGTAGAGGTAGAGAAAATTTTGTTAAACCAAATCAATTTGAATTATTAAAAAATAAAATACAAATAATAACAGGACACTTGGCGCAATATTATAGGTGGCATTGAATTGACACAGGAAACTTGTAACGAGGATCCCAAGTGCTGGTTCTGATTCTATTTTTTAGAGAATCAGAACCGGAACCTTTATTCAAGGTTCTACCACGGTTCTGGTTCCATGATTTTGGTTCCGATTCTGATCCGGTTCCAAACGGTCCGGTTCCGATCCGGTTCCCGATTCCAAATGGAACCATGGTCATGCCTAGCAATAGGGACGGGTGCCCGCGAGCACCCTCCCCACAAGAATAGAAATACCCGCCCCGTCCCGCATAAAAAAATATATATATATATATATATACAAATATATATATATACTAGGTAATGGCTTCCCACCCAAGGCGTGGAAACTTTAGACCTGTTAATAAAATTTTATTTGTTATTGTGATATTTTTTTAATGGTTGATACGATGTTATAATTCAAAAGGAAAAAGTCATTGGAGTATCGTACAAGAATTGTTTGGTAGTCGTTCAAAAGAAAGAGCCAAGTATACCATTTACATATACAGCAGCATGCCTGATTCAAAATATATTGCTGAAGCCACTGCAGTGCTACATAGAAGTTGTTTGGCAGGAACAGCAAAGCATCCTACTTAAACGTACAAAAAATATGGCATAAGCCATTGCAGCAATCTTTTCCTCTAATGTTCAACATCAATAGCAGCAGCCAAAATGCTGTATTGATATGCCTCCACATTCTCAAGGTACTTAGATTTTAACGTATTGATGATTTTTTATCATTCTTCTTATGCCTCCCTTTCTCAAGGTACTTAGATTTTTTCTTCCTTAGTTTTCTCCAAGTAAGATCAAGTGATGGTGAGCTGCTTTTGGCTTTGAAATCATCAATAGACCCAACCGACATTCTTCAATGGGGAAAGAATTTGTGCATAATGCATGCGGCTGGCAAGGAGTCAAAAATGCGAAAATGGAAGGGTCACTAAGCTGGTAGTGGAGAGGCTAAATTTAGCAGTTTTGATAGCCGCTGTTCCAGCCTCATCATATACCAAAGTTTCAGAAAAACTTAGATGTCCCTCAAAAATGGTTTTACACAATTAAAGAGAGACGGATGATGCCTGGCTGGTATCCTTTCCAAGCCAGAAATGTATATCGGATAAATATGCTGCTTCCTTGGCAGTTGATGTCTAAAAGTGTAAATGAACAATACACGATCGATATTAGTTTTTATCAGTTCATTGTATCCAAACTTAAAAAGGATAAAAAATTTAAGCTCTTCCTTCAGTCATAAACACTCAATTCGTAAGAATGAGGCCCAAAAATAAGATAAAAAGAAAGGAATATTTGGAAGGCATACACACTGCAAGACAATGTATGAATCACCCGAGTAGAATTTATGATGATCAGATTTTGGCAAAGGAACTGGTTGGAAGTTTTCAATTCTCCAAATCTCTGTCCTCTATAGCAAAGTTAAGTTCAACCAAAAAATGATATCAACATAAAAAGATATTTAGCAAAAAAGGAATCAGCAAGACAAATATGCAAAATCTATGAGGGATTGAAGATTATTTTGGAAAGGGTTTTCATGTTAGTATAGTAGCAATAAATAGAGTGACAGATATTGAAAGATCAGTATAATCATCCACTGCAGTCTTTCAATAAGGATACACTCTCCGACCAGCTCTCTAAAATGCAGTTCTACAGCTTTGACAGAGGTAGACATCTTGTCAAATGCTTCTTGCAGCCAATTCTTCCAAGAAAATTGTGAAAGGACTTTTAAAGCCTGCAGGTCCAGTAGTCTTCAAACTCTGAACACTGACTACACAAAACAAACAGCAACAGGCTTAGGAAGAACAGAAATAATATCAAGTCAAAAGTCAAGTTCTATATCTTGATTTTAGCGAACGATGCTAAGTATACATCAAAAATTACTTTAGACAAATAGCATCCACTGTCAAGAACATGAAAATGTTGTAAATTTGGTGACTGAAGAAACTAAACTCATTCCAAAAAATGCGAAAAGAAACTGGAACTTAGATGTCACAGGTGTTCTAATCTTCAACAAGAGCTAGATGTTTTGTCAGTACCTTCAACAAGCAAATCATTCTTTGCAATGATATAATTCTAGATCACTAAGCCATTTTGTAGAATAACAGGCTAACAAATCTGTAGTGTAACTTGCTACCTTCAAATGAACTTAGAAACTACGTGGAACCAGTTATGCTTCTACCTATCATGCACAACTCGCTCGTTTTACGTTTTCATTTAATAGCAGCAGATTCAAACTGGACACACAAGTGAGTGGCATCTCATCAATTGATCATAGTCAATGAAGAGTTGGGCTGCAAATTCAGAAGACATGCAGCTGAAATGGTCACCAATAGGTCCCCTTATTGCACTTAATACTGTGCATCCTTTTTGCAAGATGTGATACATTAAATTCAAAAGGAAATACCAATATAGTTTCAGTATCAAATGAAATCATCTGATGCACGCAGTGCAATAAACTCTAAAAACACAAATGTGGCAAAAAGCTGCTTTCCTCTTTTTTTTTGATGAGTAGAGCAAAACTCATCTCAGTTTTTAAATGCTCGACTCCCAATAGGAGACTAATGGTTTGGCAAAGTACATTATGTAAGCTAACTCGATATAGTGGCCTAGAGGATAACAATAATGTAATTGATCATTGCTTGAGATTTTCATTGTAGTGAACCAAGATTTAAAGGCTAATACTGCAAGTGCTGGAAATTGTTTACACAAGCTGCATCTTTCTTTCCTTACCCACTCTTTTTATGATTCTTGCCCCTGTAATTTTTCACTTTTTCTGCATTTATTGTGTTTTTTCCTGCTTTTTTTTCCCCCTTTATTCTGTTTTATGAATGTTATGATAGTATCCTGCATTTATGAATTTTTGTGTTTTGCAAGTTCATGAAATCAGTAGAATAAACCAGTCACTCTTAATTTTGAAAAAACAATTAAGTGCATGAGTACTGTAGGTTTGACATACAACTGGAAGGAAAAAAAATGGAAGAAACATGCATCGATGCATGAACAGTAATGCAAACTTAAACAGGACAGCAAGATATGAAGATGAATCATACAGGTGCAATTATGTATTTGTTTGAAAAGAAATACTCATGAAACGAATGAATAATAAAATTTAATTTGGTTATTTAATAAATAATTGCATTTTTTCTTATAACTTGATAAGTAACTTGCCAATGAAATCTTTGATGCTGCATTAACTTGGTAGCTCAATAAAATAACTTTACAAAAAAACCCCTATAAAGAAGCAAAAGAAAAAGGGAAAGAAATAAAAGTTGAAGTTTGGAGAATGTTGAGACTCCAACAAACCAGACCAAATTGGAATCCACTTCTTTTGGAGGCTATGAATCATATCAAAAACAACTTGTCTAAGATGACATGCCACAAGATAGCTTCAAAATCTTAGAGTTAATTAATAAGAAGCTTCAAAGTACACTTACATGTATTGTGTCAGAAACACCTATCATTAGTCATCGTTTGAGCGAGTTTGAGTACTATACTCTTCAAATAAACATGCAGCACCTCTCTTACAAGCAAACATCATAGATTACGTTGCATTTAAGACTGAAACACTATGAAGAAAATTTGGGTCTGCATAGCATGTAAACATGCATTAGAAGAGCTAATTACCAGTGCAATGTAGAGACATTTGCCGCAGAATAATGAGTTAATGCTGCTATCTCAAAACAGAGTGCATAATTTGTCAGGCACTAATGTTTCTCAATAATAGAACAATACAGAACAAAATTTTAGAAGGGGAAAAATGTCAAACTTGATCTTATCTTAACCATTTTTACTTAGAAAGACAGCTACGAAGTCATTAAGGTGGCCATTTCAGAAATGCATGGGATTTGGGTCAAGCTTAGAAATACGGAAACAACTCCAAGTTCAGGGAAATTAGATGCATGCTTGTAGACAGAAATTTAGAAAATGATAAGAACTGCCAAGAAAAATAAATTGTAAGAATACAGTCCAATCTCAACTATTTTGCTGAGATACATGGGCAAAAAAACTAATCACATGGGGATTTCAGGATGATATCAAATTCTACGCTTCTAATATAAATCTTTTCAGTGAACGAGTAAACAATGTAGATATCATACAAAAATATCCAAAATGAAATTATTAAAAAGAAAAATAATAAAACAATCATTCTGACAGGGAAACATGCAGAAATAAGTGTTCTCAGTTAGACGCTAGCACCTGTAGCTCATAACTATAAGCTACTTCTCATTATGACATTGATAAATTTATTCCTATCAAGCTATGAGACTCAGTAGACTGCATCTTTGCAAGAATCAAAGAATTGCACACTTACTAAGTTTTAGGAACAGGACAGAGATGAATTGCAGAAGCTGCTCATTTGGAGTGCCAACTTGAGGAGTAAACAAGTGATCAAAGACTCCACAAATAGATTTTACTGCTGTTTGTTCAATAAAGATAGCCTTATCATCTTCGACCTGATCTTGGATTGCTTATATAACTTATGCATCATTATTAATGTTGATCAACTCTTGCAAAATATTTGAAGCTTACTAATTCCAGAACAACAAATCACAAACGCACCATTATTAATAGAAAAAGAAAAAAGACAGACTTGATAGATTTGCACCAAAGTTAATGAAATTTAAAGTTAAAAATATTAGTGATTTTAGGTTCCTTGATTTAAAGGCTAGTTTTCAAAGCATTGCATTAGATCAGAAGCCTACTCAATCTAACATGCACATTAATCAAGAAGAAAGTCAATTGATAGAATATCTAAGTAACTTTTCGTTGAGACATACATTTAATATTGAATCTGAAAAAAAAAAATTTTGTTGGCTAATGTACTTGACAAAAATAGAACTTTGGACTATACTGAAGAGACATGATAACAAGTATGTAATTCTCACACTCATTTCTGGATACTTAAAGTAACTTAAACAAGTATGAAAAAAAAGTTTCTCATTCAAACTCAAAATGAAAAGCAGCTCAATTCACCAGTTCTGAAATAAATAAAGAGTAAATTATGTCCTAAACAGAACGACAGATTAATGGTGGCAAAATATGCAACAAGGTAAAACAGCTATCTATTGATATATGAATTGATCAGATTCAGAGAGAGATACCTCCAGAGGCTATCACCAAAAAGGCTTTTAGTCATTTGGATAGCTCCTTATGTATTTTTGCATTACAATCTGAAACATATGGTACAACTGCAATCAATACTGTTAGCTTAAAGAAAAAGGTTTTGCAAGAAAAAAAGCTTAGCAGTATCAGTTCGAACCTTCAGCAGCTTGCCATGTGAGGAGGATGAAGCAGACAATAACCCTTCATTTTTTGGCTCATTCCCAACCAATGCACTTTTTGACTCAATTGAAGACAACCTATCTGAATCATTCCAATCTTTTTACAGATTAAAAAGTTCAGCCATCAAAACGGAATACTAAAATTATGCAGAGAGACAATAAAAATAGATTTCAATTACTGGTGTTAAAAAAAGGGGGGGTGTTCTCTTATTGTCGAAAGTTAGGCCAATGCTAATCATTTCCAAACATATCAATGTTTGAAAAAAACAAAAAACAAACAGCAAACAGCAAACCAATCTTTTTATATCAAAGAGCTGTAATTGTTTGATTATCAATAGACATACATGAAGAAATTATGAAACCTTTTTTTTTGCATCGAAGTTTTGTTAGTTACATCTGTAATGTCATTTTAGTTGAACTTCTGTCTAAAGAGTGATAATCTGGCACATTAACAGGTTGTGCAGCTTGCATGACCTATATAAGAGGATAAATGAAGCTTAATAAGTAATTGTTACAGATCTATATGAACCTGCCATGCACGGGAGGATCACTTAGTACATGAGAGGATACAAATTGTTAAAACGAAACATGCAAAACCTACGTCCGCTACACTGCCTTCGATATTAACTCCACATTAAAAATAGAGTTAAAAAATGTTTACAACCTGTAGTAATGCAAAATCACTACAATTGTTGTTGAACCATAGCCAATATTTTAACGCAAAACAGGAAATCTTTTATGACTTCCGGCAAGGGTGATTCACCATATATATAGATTGGAAGCGAAACAAGGTAAAAGATACTTAAAACCATGAAACTTTCCTTAAATTTCTGTAAAATTATTGTGTTTTTATGAATTTTGATGCATTACATGGTTAAAGAAATTACCTAAGCAACGCAAGAAAACAACCAAAAATAATGAAATTGAAGTTCACCTCAGAAAATTTCCCTTCCTCTCCAAAAATGTACAAGAAAGCAAGTAGCAGCTGCATAGACCTAGACAATGAAGAAACCCAAAATTATTTAAGGAAAATGATAAAGCTGAACAAAGAAACAAAGAAAGGCCAAAATTTTGTTTTAAGTAGAAGGAGCACCCTTGAGCTTCAGCGGCAACCTTTTACTTGAAAATCGAGAGTACTGCAAATCCTTCAATCAGTAATTGAATAAGAAATAGAGATTTTGTATCAAGATAAAATGGAAAAGTAAATAGCCAAATTTGATTCGAAAAGCTAAATATTAACATCAACATCGGAAATCGTACAGCATAATTGAAGTTTTCACAATCTTAATAGCGATTATGTTAAACAAGACAAAACCTGTGCTAAAAAATACTAACTGGTATCTCCTGGAGGACAAATGCTCAATTTTGACAAAAGTAAATAAAAAAGGAGGAGAAAAAAATCAACGGTAGCCAAAAATAACGTGTACAAATTAGAGCAAAATTAAAATTTTTATCTGTTCCTTTGCATTTCATATCAAGTTTATCAACTCAACAGCCAATAATTATCTCATCCATTTCAAATTCTAAAGAGAACGTGTTAAAATTTTTACTTGTTGTTTCTCACTAAATACCATTGAAGTACAAAAACCCCTAACGCCATTAAAGCTTCAATACAAAAGTGTGCAAAACAAATAAGATACTCAAAAGGGAAGAAATAAAAGGAGGATGGAGAAAGGAAAAAGGAAAGCTCCTAAACAAATATCTGATTTTGGATCCTCCTAAATTTCTCAAGTCTAGTTTTAAGTTATGATTTGACATTACCCTTAAAAAAAAAATTATGATTTGACAAGCGGTCGCTATCCATAGGATAGGTACTGTTTAATGGGTATTGACCCTCCTCAGTATTTTATTTTTTTGCAAAAGTAAGCATTTAGTGACTAAACAATCAGGGTAGGAAAAAAATCAAAAAAGGAACAAGAAAGGATAGGGAGATAAACTGAAGTAAGAGACAAAATTAAATGCTCGAAAAGTTAAAGCATGCCACTGAACATTAAAGGGCTGTCGGTGCTATAATTACATTTTTGTCAAGTTAATTAACCAATAATGGACTTCCAATTCCAAAACATTTTTATGGAGTGCCAAGACCATTCGTTATTCTCATTTGTTTAAAGTTTTTGATAATACTGTGAATGAGGGAAATAATTATTTACGGTGGAAATGAAGATTTTGCATCAATAAATAGTGAAAAAGATTGGAAATGAAGATTTTGTATCCACAAAAAGTGAAAATGATTGTACAGAAAGCTGAAAAGGAAAAGTGTGAATATCATATCAGCTGTTGTTGTTAACTACAGAGTATAAATATTTATTCGGTGATTGGCTGAATTAAAACAGGCGAAAATCCTTTACTGGGTAATTTACCATTGACCATCACCAGACCCAGTCCCAGTCCCCAGTCCGCTGCCTTTCTGCTTCTGTCCGCTTCCCATCGGTCTGCCACCCATACATATACCCTCGCGAGATATTTGCAAAATTAAATCCACACCTTATTAGAGTAGTAAATAAAAAATAAACCTCCATGTCGAAAAGTCAGGCCAGAGATTGGAAGCGGCTTCGAAGGAAGCTTAGCCGCCGGCTTGGATTGCTGCTGCTGAGCAGCTGCAGGAGCTGGGGTTTTCTTAGCTGCGGCCACAGGAACCTTCTGAGCAGCAATCAGCTGTGATGGGTCTTCAGTGTCATCATCTCCCAGTAAATCAAATGGGTTTAAAGTCGCCATTTTCAACTATCAAAACCAACCCACAAAAACCCCTCAGACTTCCTTTTCAACCGGACCTTTTTCAAGAAAGATTAATCAGCGGTATATCCATTGTGTATCAAAATATTTCATCGATCTATACTATCGAAGAAGAGAGACCAGAGAAACAGAGAGAGACAAGGTTTGATGAAGCCACGGTTCAGTTTATAGCATGAATAAATGAAGCATAAACGAAGCAGAAGGCAGTAAGATAAAGCAAAAAGTTGTGGGCTTATACAAATAGCTGCGGGACATGAATGTTCCAACACCAAAAGTAAAAGCTATTGTAAAATGACACTGTTAGACATGAGTTGAAAATATATAGTCCATTCAATGAATATTTTGAGGAATAAAAAATATAAACATCACATCTCATTAATGCTTCTTGTAAATGCTGCAAAACAGTCATTGTTCCACTAACATTCGGCTAAGCCTTGCAAGAAGCAACAACCAGTTCTAATAGCTACAAGAAAAAGAACAGCCAAAAGGCTTGGAGGACAAAAATAACCCTGAAGAGAGCAAACGAATTGTAATGACCATAACCTCCAAACGTCTTAGCTGCCAAGAAAAAGAACAACCAAAAGGCTGTAACGACAAAATGGCCCTGAAGAGAGAGATGAAATTGCAATGAACAGGAACCTCCAAACGTCTTCTTATAAGATATAAAGATATATATAATATACACAAAAGTAACAAAACCGCCCTCAGCTCCTCCTCATTTCTAATACTCCTCAACTAAACCATCCTCTCTGTCTAAATCCTCCTAAAATTTTACCCAGCCAGATCCAGATCGAGCTGATATATCTTCGTCGGCAAGTGATCGGAGGTAAATCTTCATCTTTTTCTTCCTGATGTCTTCGTCTTTGTTTTCCTTGTGCGCTTAAATTGTTTGATAATTAGGAAGGAAAGGATCTGTCTTTGCTTCTGGTTGAACGAATAGTTTATTTGATTAGCAAACTTAGAATACTGATAAGTGCCTAAATTAATAGGAAACTTTATACCGAGAAGAATTTGCAGCTTGATTTCATGGTGTTAAACGAATTGTGTGCCAGTGCCACATATTTTATGCAAATCGAAGAGTGTCTTTTCACTCATGAGTCAAAGTGAAAATTTTTCAAAAAAGCCTAATAATTACGCAAAATACTAAAAAAATATCAATTTATTTCAAGCTATTCAAAGAATTAAAAAATGAAACTGTTTTCTTTTTCACCAACTCTTCTCTCATTTTACGAATATAGCGTGAAAGGAAAATGGAATATTGGATGCCAAAGCTGAAGAAATTATTGCTCTCTAAGTTAACAATTCGACATGACCCAAAAAACAATAAGTAAGATAGTAACATTAAAAGAGTATATCTATAAGAGAATTCTGCTGTAATACAATGCCTAAATACAATTTATGGGGCTTAAACCATGTAGCGTGATCATATGGGATAAAGTTGTTTTCTTTCTGGATGGTGAGATGTGGTTAATTTTTTGTTTTTCTTGTGCATATAAGATGTTTGTGAAAAAGCCTTAATGAAAATGTAAATACGAGAGCCTAATGGAATAAGAATTCTTTCCATGTCCTATGATATCGTTTATAAGCAGTTCCAACAACCATGGCTTTGTTTTTCCCTTCATTTTGTCTTTCCTCGCGGGGGACTGCGGGGGAAACGGGGCGGGGGACGGGGGAAGGATCCCCGCGCCCATTGCCACCCCTAGGCTCCACTAGTTTTCCCAAGCCAAAATTCCTAATTTGACACCCGGACTTCACTTCAGCCCTAAATTTGTAAAATCTCTGTCGCTTTGTTTCCACTTCTTGCCGCCGCCGATCTTTGTTGCCATTGCCGACGGCTCATCTGAAATCCCATAGTAAGTTCCTACTAGAGGTACAAGCTCTATACACAATTTCCAGTCTCCTCTCCTACGCTTTGTCCAAAGAGTCCAAACCTAACTCCCTATATATTCTGAATCAATTCCTGCTGTCTTCTCCGGTTCTCCATACGATCCGGCAGAGCTGCAGAAGTTGGGAAGGTTGGTTGAAAAAAAGGGTTGGAGTGATCTTTGTTTAATCAAGTAAGTTAATGTTCTGCAACTGGCTAATTTGGTGCAAACTAAAATGTTCACTTTTTGAAGATAAATTTGCTTGAGCTACATAAATGCATCCTTTAAAAGTCAGAATTGCATTATTGGGGTAAATGCTATCTAATTTTGATGTACAGATTCATTGAAGTATAAGAAGAAAGGGAAAAGGCGTAAATGACCAGCAATGTGGAAGCACTCACTAATTTAATTTCACATGATCTATTTGTTAAATTTCAGGCAAACACGTGCAAGAACTTTATTGGGGACTTTTTCTTCAATTCTTTTATTTGAATTAATGGATTTCCTTTGTTGCTTTCTATGTGTTTTGAGGAAATGTCAAAGTTACTACTGAAAATTTTGGGATGCACCTCTTTTGGTAACTCCATTGTTGCTTCCTGAGATATGCAGAAATCAGGATGGCTACTTTTAGTCTATACTTTTAGTTGGAATTGCAGAAACTAGATATCTCCTTTTTTCTTTTTTTTTTTGGCTCAAGTAATGGACACTAATTATATTTTAGACGTTGAAGTTAAAAGCTACCTCTTATGTTGCTTGAAAGTTGAAATCAGTGTTCTAGATTGATATTTAGCATTCACTTATCAATTTTTTTTTTTTTTTGCATTCTTGTTTTTCTTTTTCTTTTTGGCTTAACTGAGGTAGGACGGAAGTAGACTGCTAACTGCTAAGCCAGCTCAAAGGTTGATTAACCATCTAGAAGACTCTGTTGATTGACCATGCAACTGAAGATGTCATCAAATTATGTAAATGTAGGCGAGAATGTATTAAACTGACTTTTACTTGTTTGTTTTCTGTTATCTTTATGTATTGCAGCTGAATACATATCAATCTAAGTATAGCTTAGTATGTACTACAAAGTCTTCCACAAAATTGCTTAACAATCTTTGGAAGCAAATTAAGGATGTTCAAATTAAACATGTTCGATTTGGTGAATTGGATATGGATTTGGATCACAGCTTCTTGGTTATATTTTATAAATTTGATTTGGCAGGAAAAAGATATATATATACATATACATATATGACGTATTTATGACGTCATCCGGTTCGACCTCGAATGACTCCGGTTGAACCCATTGACCCCTGACCCCTGAGTTCGGCCGAATCGATGTCCGGTCTGAGTCTGAAAACATAGCTGAAAATCCTAA